AAAGATGAAAATTGAACTTGTTTGATCATGTGTAAGCTGAAGAGAATAAATAAACAAATGTAGGTCTGCTGGGCAGTTATTTCAATCCGAAAGGTTACTGCTATTAGTGATATCTATGATTTCGGAACATCAGAACTACTGATATTTGTTTGTTTGTACTGAAGTTCGAATTTTCGGGGTTTACTCATCATATTTGATTGATTCATCTGGGTTGATTCCTGTTGATCAATTCATATATATGTCGCGATTGGAGAAAAGGATGATGATAGAGTGCCAATTAGAAGTAAAACCATTATTTACTATTGTCATTTGTTAACAGACTATAATTGTGGATATGTATTAATGCAGTCAATTGTGACTTTGTAGCATTGGTTATGGTTCATAATTGCTGAATACAAAACTGTCTCCTGTATAATGATTTTTTGTTTTGATCTTAGCCATGTTTGGATAAGTTAAAGGACAGTGTTGTCAAGTTAATAATTGATTATCTGTAAACCAGCCGTGATAAAGTGTTTCGGAAAATGGCTGGATTTTACCGTTCACGTAATGGATCGGTTTTACTTGAACAGCCACTCAGTAGTAGAAAGCATTAGGAAGATGCTTTGCACTGGAATGGCACTTCTCAGCATAGCATATCCATGGCTTGAGTGTGAACCAACCCAGGACATTGAGTTATTATAGCGAACACTTAGCCTTTAGGTCACTGAGTTGTCATCCGACGGTTTACATGTCTAACATAATTTAAGTTATGATAGTCCAAAGATGCCATCCGATGCCGATGTTGGGTACCTGTCTTACGCTCGACATTGTTAAAGAATATTGTGTGATAATTATGTCCCTAACTAACGAATTGTTAAGTTTATCTTACGTTGTTCCTACTCGACCCCTTTCCACTCCTTTGTATATTATTTTATACTACTTATATACATTGAGTAAGCAGTTTGTCCCCAACAATTTTTACACTTATGTTGTAACGCAAGTTGTAGTGTGATATTCTGAAATGTTCACATATACTTATGATGCTTATTGTATTTATCATTGTATTTATCATTATAATCACTATACCTTAATCACTGTAGCGGCTATCCACAGCTTTGTGCATTTGTTTAAACGCAACAGTTTCCATATTGTTTTGCTCTTGGTTCGGGTTTCGATTGTTCATAAGATCTTATCAAATTTAGACACAGCTATTAGCTGTCCTTTATACTAAGGTATGTTGTAATTATTCTTTATGTTACTGTTACAGGAAGCCTTTTTATGTCATACTTGAAGGACGCGCTTGAACGCCCTAGACACCTCACAAGTTGAGGTTTGTAACTAAATGTTGTGTATTATTCAATAAAGAACCGCTATTGTAGACAAATTGTTGTTTTGGAAACTTCGGTTTTGCGCGTATCTCAATCAGGTGACTTGGACGCTTCGATAGATCTAACAACAATCAAATCGTTGCTTAAACGCCAATCACAACAATCTGATCTGGTCTGTTCTCATTGCACTAATCGAATTGGTTTTACATTTAAAACAGATCAAGTTTAAAGACAAGTTGTCCTTGTTCTGACCATAGATTTCGTATTGACTGGTGTCTTCAGTATCGCGTTTACACTTCTAGCAGAATATCTGGCTTCTTATAATGTCCCTTGATGATGATGAATAAACACTGTGATAATCCATCAGTTTGGGGTTGGTATTTCTTCTTTCAATCCCTTCCTACCTAGTTATGTTTCTTGTGAAGTCTTCTAAACTGGTTTTATTATCAAGGTTTGACTTGATAGTTGAAAATAACCTGTGCATCATCTGGAATGTTAGTAATAAAGTGATAGTATATTGATCATAACCCAGTCAGTAGAAAATCGAATTTCTCGCGTTTTGTGACTTTGTGTAAACTATTCTTCAGAGTAGACAAATAAAAAAGAATAACCGAATCAAATTTACACAGTTTTAGATCGCATAAAAGAACACGTCAAAAAATTAAGTTTATTATTTTATACGATTTTAATCTGTGTTAATTTGATTCGGTTATCTTTTTATTTATCGACTCTGAAGGAGCGATTTACACAAAGTCCAAAAACGCGAGAAATGTGATTTTCTACTCATCGGGATATTATCAATATATCGTTGTTTTATAATTTTAAGGTAATTATTTATCCTCAGGTTAGACGTCACTAACTTTAACTGTTTATTTGCTCTTTCTGTGACGGGATGATAAACTTTATATATCAGTTTATTAGCAACTGTCTTAATTGTTTATCAAATATGTATTAACTTACTTTTCTAGATATTTTCCACAATGTGTCGACCTTCCAAATATAATCATTTTTCTAGAATGACTCTGTTTCTTTAAATTAACCCGTTAACCACCTTTAAGTGATCAATAGATTTGACCACCATAGTCAAGTTGATGCCATCTGACATACCCTTAGCACGTTCATCTTACTTATCTGACTTCGTAAGAAAATAATCATTTTAGTGATCAGTTTCTAAAGCCATTAAATTCCTTCAAATATAAGTTATGATTTTACTTTCTCGTCTTTTCCCTAAACTTCACTCAGATAGTGCACGTTCTTCTGTATTTTGAACTGGATTATGTATGATGTAATCTATTTCTAGAATCCTGTCTCCGCCTTTTTATAAACATTCCCAGTTAAACTGTTGGCAAAAACTGTATGGATAATATTTTTACTTCTTTCAAAATAACTGTCTTCCCACTAGTGTACATCTACGACGACCACGGCCATAACAAAAACGTCTCTTATATAAAATTTGGATACTTAACTTTTTCATAGAATTAATATAACGAGGGAAATATGTTGTTAACGTATTAGATGAATAAGCTTTTCTATTCATGTGCAAACAATTTGTTATCCATTGTAATAACTAACATACCAGTCTTTATACCTTCACGTGGATTGATGAAATAATGAGGAATAGATTGATTTTATTTGGTTAATCAGATAATTTATAACTAAAGGATCTTGTGGGTCTCAACTGTTTGACATTTATACTTTTTTCGGATCGATCATTGCTTCATAGAAATCCAAAGTTAATAAAAAAACTGAAAAAGGTGTTTCAATTAAAAATGAGTTTTGATTCTCCCTACCATTTACTTGTTTATTGACTTCAGGAAACTCAATATAAAGTGATAAGTAATATAAATAAATCGAATACAATCATACCGAAGTCAGTGATCAAGCATCAGAAATTCTACTGTTATTCGTGCTTTGAAATTTCTGAAAGAGGTTTGTTAAAGTAAACACGTAAAGTTTGTTCTCCATTATGAGAATCTTTTAAAATAAGGAAGGAACGAATTGAGCGAAGAAATTTTTTCAATTAGTTTTTCATCATGGCTCTACACTAATATATCTTGTCTGCTACGTCGTTTTTCACAACCAGTTAATGAAATTTGCTTTTATCATTTAGAAGGACTTTCATTTTGTTTATTTAGTCATTTTTATCCATGGGTACTATCCCATGTCCTTTGTCTGGTTTCGTGATTAATAAATTGTCATTAGTTTTAAGTTTTCTTAGAGCTTCTGTATATTTTTTCGCCAAAATCCCTTTCGTGTTATGTCTATGATTTATGTATTTAAAACAACAGTCGACTGGTGTTAATTTAAATCTTTCAACATTATCTTTTGATGAAGTTACTAGTTCTAACGTTTGAACATAAAGATTTTTGAATTGAATTTCAGCGTCCATTTTATTGACTGTTTTCTTAAGGTCACAAAACTTAGGGCCTAGTGATAACGCTTCTAACGCAGTTTTGTCCAGTATAATACTAGAAAAATTGTACACGTACTGATCGGGATTCGATGGAAATTTCACTTCTGGAATTTGTTTGTCTAGATATTTCTTAAGTTTCATTCCTTTCTTTTCTTTTTCGGAGAAGAAAACAAGGATAAAAATTCCCATCGTCCCCAAGAAGGTATTATTCATAAAACTACAATTCATAAATGACACCATTGAAGAAGTCATGACTCAGAAACTACGAAGAGCCGTACAAAAAACATTTTATGCTGCCAAATTAAATGTCATCTTCTACAACCACCCGAAAATAAGAACATCCATTGAAGACAGACTGCCAGAATTCGCCAAATCTATGTGTATCTATGGTTTCAACTGCTCCTGTGGAGCCAGTCACATAGGGCGTGCAGTTGCGCAGGTCCGTCACCGCATTACAGAACATCATCCGACATGGCTAAGCAATGGACAGGCGAAAGTGATTAAAAGTTCTATTCTCTCTCACTTGGTTGACACAGGTCATCAAGTCGAATGGAATAAAGCTTTTAAGATTATCTACAATATTCCATTGAATCTACCACATGGTTTACGAGTGCACCTTTTCCACATTGCGGAAGCCATCGCAATCCATGTTCACAAACCTGACCTTTGCATCCAAAATAATTCGTACAACCACTTTCTCTGCCCCGGCCTTCAGTATAAGATTTCCGTCATAAGAACTATTTTTCTTACTTCTTCCACTTTTTTTATTTTTTTACAATTCTTGTAATTTTGTTTCTATTGCTTTTGAACTTTATAACTTCTCAACATTCATCTCTTGATTTTTACGTAACTACTATCCTACTGACCGTCCGTTAAAATTCTGTTCCTTCTCTGTTTCTTATATTACGCAACGTAGCAACTTCTTGATTTAATAATTACTTTGAATATTAATAATCATCTTTCTTCCAATTACTCAATGTTAATCTAAATGTCATTATGTAATTATTACTTGGCTTATCCACTCGATGAGTATTATATCATTATTGTAAATCATATATATATATATATATATATATATATATATATATATATATATATATATATATATATATATATATATATATATATTAGTGTAGAGCCATGATGAAAAACTAATTGAAAAAATTTCTTCGCTCAATTCGTTCCTTCTTTATTTACGGAATGGCGAATTGTGAATTTTCACTATAATCTTTTAAAAACCACAGAAAATTTAAACAATCATTATGATATTTTAAACTTACTTTCTTTGTTGAATTATTTTCTGTTAACAAGTAATCCACGGAACATTGTTCCGTCTTTAGTTTACCAGTATTAGCTATATAGATACTGTAATTTGCTGCCGTAGAAGGCAGAATACTCAGTTGAAGATTAAAGAATTGTAACTTTTCAGCTTGATTCACAACTGAGGTATCCTTTAATGTCAAGACATTATTCGCAACCTATTCGTTAAAAAGAAGGTTGACATGGTTTGTACTGACAACTTACCAAATTAGGACCTGCGAATGCTTTGAGTTGGCTCTCACAAAAATTCACTGTAGAATTCTTACCTAATGGTGAGATTTTTGCTTCAAACCTAACGGATACCAAACTTGGTTTATATATCTGGATAAAAACTGTTAGACGAACTGATCGATTCATCATTGGCAAAGTAGTGTCATAAACACCTAAAATATATTTTAAATTAAATTAGAATATGTACATATGAATATAAAATAAGACTTGCTCGTCCCAATAATTCGGAAAAGAAATATTCAAAGTAATATGAAAACAAGACCATTTTGTGAAAGAATGCCTGTCGACGAGACTTATCAGAGTGAATCTCCAAAGTTCGGCAATGAAATATAATGAAAAATAATAGTTTAGTTTTTTTTGTTTTTTAACACAACAGTGAGATCGTTTTGAAAAAATGAACCCAATGAAAGCCAAACGATAGCCAACTAAGCGTAATTATATGCCTTATAGTTGTTAGAGCTCTAGTGGCGAGTGATGGTAGTAACCTTGGGTAAATTAAAATTATAATCTTCCAGTGTGACTGAGTTTAACCGCATCAAATGTGAATCAATTTCATTATAAATGACCTTAAAAAACTGAACCGAATTTCCAGCCAGTTCTAAACTAATCAGAAAGCAGCTTTTAAAAATAAGTAGTTTATGGAAAAACGCTGAGATTACAGTGTGAATGGATTCTAGGTAAATAATGAATATATTAATGTCTTCTAACTGTTGTTCCGCCTGTGAGTTGAAAAAACAAAGAGATATTACTTCAACCGCGCTGTTAGAGGTTATCCGTCTTCGCTAATCTATAAAATGACCCAAAACCAGTTCTCACATTATTTTTCGTTAGGGATAGCACATTTAGGGTAATGGTTAGGGCTTTGGAGATTTATTCACAAAATGACAAATTAAAAACTCCTCTGTTGTCGTATGTGTGAGTGAATTTCAGTCAAAAATACTGGAGTAAATATTTGATCAGTTCATTCATAAAATGTAGTCCCATTAGGTATGTGTTTGTTTTAGGATTAAATATTTAAAGTTAGAACATATGGATAATGCCGATTTGCCTGTTAATTACAATCAAAGGAGACAGAAGTAGAATTTTGATACACTTAACACTTACGATTTTAATCTACATCTGCAAAAACTGAATTTTTGCAGTCATTGTGAATGTTTCGAGCACTACACAAAAGTATTTTCACTGCTTGTCACACATAATATTTGAATTTCGTGCTGAAATTCAATTCTGATTGACTTGTCCCTAAAGTATACTTTTACTGAAACCATCGTCGTAATTACTTTTTGAATGGAGTTTTCCACATTGCTCTTTCCATTTTCTGATTGACTTCCATCGCTTATAGTTAGCTAAATTTCTATAGTCTCAAAGGTCATCTTTTTGTTCCTATATTACTGAGTTAAGTGAAATCATAACCTTGAACGACGTATACTAGTGCAATTCACGGAAGCCTCAACAAAGCATACTATGAATATACTAATTAATTTTTGTTCAGGAAATAAGTTGGACAAGAGATATTTGATTCCAGTAAACAGTTTAATGATAAGTGAAATGTACAACGTTTAAAAAATAACAACAAAATAAAAGTATCTACGACGATCCAAACATGTTAGTAACTATTTGATAGTTGTTAAATTCGACTATTGATCACAACACGGTCAAATCATACTATTTTTTTCCTATTAAGTTTTACTATGACAATAGGAGAGGGCTGTAAACTAGCGAAATCAGATGTCAGGATTCTCGCAGTGTGAATAAATCTATATTGATTTCATGATAAGCAGCGAAGAAGTACTATCGTGTGTTTTTGAGCAGAATGGTGACAGCACATTTTAGAAATTCTCTCAATAGAAGAATAGAAGTTTTAATACAAATCTATTACAAAATAAAATAGTGTTACAAGTAGCAAGATTATTCAGAATTTAAATGCAATCACACAAGAGCAAATATATCTGATAATGAAATGTATCACAAACTGCTAGCTGATATCATTTGGTCAGTAGCATTCGCCCTTCATTTGTAAACTGATATATAATGTAGGTATGAAGCTCAATTACCAGGTCTCGATTTCATTAAGAGAACTGTGAAATCCGTATCATACAGGAGCTTATAGTTCAAGTGACTTCTACACATGCTCATTTTTGTGGTCCATATTTTTATATGAAGACATCTAACTTTTCGTAAAACAAATCCTATTCTGATGAATAAAATAACCGATAGTGTCATTAAATAAGAAAAAGAGAATTCAGTGAAGAAAATTTTCTTTTCGACGAAATCATTTACTTAAACTGCACTTTCGTATATATAGTTATATGGAAATTGTATGTCTATAGGAGGATGGAAAAATTGCATCACCAAAATGGATTCGAGGATAAATAACAAATGAGGTTACGTACTAATCAAGGGGTAAGGAAGAAAATGATTTATGGGTCAGATAATAGTCCAATTGACAAATACGAAGAAAAGCGACAAACACAAATGTCCTATCCTTGATGTGAACAACTCTCCATATCACTTCATTGCTAAATGGTTAGTTGACATTTTACAACCTTATAATAATTAGAAATATTGGTATTATTTATCCTCGAATCCATTTTGGTGATGCAATTTTTTCCATCCTCCTATAGACATACATTTTCCATATAACTATATATACGGAAGTGCATCTTAAATAAATGATTTCGTTGAAAAAAATTTTCTTCACTGAATTCTCTTTTTCTTATTCAAATCCTATTCTTCTTCCCATTAGTATTGTCTCCACTTAGAGATCTGTGTCAATAATCTGATCTCGCATTCAGCAAACACAGGGACTAAAGTAACAATACGTTTATCCATTGGTTTATTTACAATTATAAACCGTGTATTGTTCACGAGATGATTACCAGTAAAATATATCTTGAAGTCAATGATTTTTCGGAATACGACTTCTGGAAACGAATATTTTTATTCATCTTGAATAACAATGTATTCAGCCCCTACCATCATCTTCATTCCTCTTAATCACTCCATCTTTATACATATTCGATTGTTCACAACATCTCTTGTCATTTCAGTTCAGTAATAAATATCTTTGGTACGTAGAAGCTGTCATACCATTACACTACAAGTGTCATATTTAATAGCTTTTCGAAGTAAAACTGCCAAACAATTTTCAAATTATGACTGGGCAAGACAGAATAAACACTGAGCTTATTTAAATTCATCATCAACAGTTGAAAATGTTTTATTCACGGATATGTCTATGCACAAATGTTGTCACCAAATAAATGTGGTTGTTAAGAATTGATTAGTAACATCAGTTTGACGAGGCCATCATACTGACCGGTAAAAAAGTGATTCATCGAAGAAATATTACCAGAGAAATAATTATCAAAAGGTTCAGGTGAGCCTAAAATGATTATTAATGGAAGATATCTATAATGCATGACACAAAAATGAAAGTAGCAGAATAAGTGCCTAAAATCATATCATCCACTGCCCTAATTACATGCAATATGAAAATTCGGTACTTGTGTAAATAAGTATCATAAAATGGAAAGGCACTTGTTATTGTTTTGACAAGTGCATACTTAATTTCATAAACATGCGTACAGGAAAAGATGTAATCTTTCGAAAATACAACATTTATGAGAACCACGTTTTGAGAATCGTGGTTGGTTGTGAAACATCAGGAACTTAGTGTTATAAAACACAGCTAGACTGAACATAACTGTTAATATATGGTACAGTTAACAATATGCATGGTTTAAACTGAAACAGAGTGTTTAACGTTAGAAATCATTGTACGGTGAACTTACCTGGACTTTGTAGATTTGAAACACTAACGTAGCCAATGGTAGTCAGTGCGAAGTTATAACCAACGAATTGTTGCGTATCTATTTTGTAACCTTCTGGGTATGTAGAGAATGTTGTAGGTAGCGTCAAAGATATATGTCCAATCGAAGCACTAAACTCATCAGTCGTGAATGTGAACTATCAAACAATTTATTAGGAAACAACAGTAAGTATTTTTCTGTACGTGTCTTTGAGGAAATAAATGCGTAATTTTTTGTATTGGGTGAACATAGAAAAGTAAAGTGTTTATATTCAGATATATCTACTCAATGTCCTACAACACTATGATGGATATTTAAATATACTCTATTAACTTTGTCTGAATAAGTTAGTACAACGTTGTTATTGACAAATGATCATCTCAGATGTTGTAGAAGTTCTCTCGTTATCATATCGAATAATTACCTTGTTCGCATTGTATTGGTTTGTTAAAAATTAGCTACACTTTATTTGTTGAAGTAATTAGTAGTCTGTGAAACACTGATCTGGTATATTTAACAGAATTCGTATTGAAATTGGATACTATTCATCAGGTCAAATACTTAGGAAAATTATGGTTGATATGACCATTGTATTATGACCATTGATATTAAAGAGAAATGGTGATAGCATTTCAGCTAAAACAACACACTGACAATACTAAAATGCGTCCCTATAAAAACGAGATTATAATCACCAGGATAATAAGTCTAGCAACTTCATTTCAATGTATTTGGTCGACTATTCAAAAATACATATTTCTTTAAAGATACCAACGTACTTCAAGTTTTTAAATGTTATATAATCTATGATTTTGATTTATGGCTGTACGATGTGAGATGATAAACCTTAATAGAGTTTTATTTTATTCACCTGTCCTTCTTTAAAACAGATCTTGTTTTTTCAGAAGAGTGGTCGATTATTCTTATATTTCTTCCTATGATTTAAAGGTTTACAGATGTATTTCAATATCATATCAGAATTTATCGGAATTTAATGAAAAACACTGAACGACATTCAGTGTATTTGTTGAGTGTGGTAAAGATAGAGGTGATGATTATAACATACTTGAATGTTGTTGATCTTCACAAATGATCTTGATTTAATTAATATGGTGTTTAATCCACGTAATTCATCTGACTCATTTACAGTGTCAGCTGAATCATTATATTCTTAAGCAGAGTAACTGAATAAAATCAGATTTTCGCAGACATCTGACTATCAGGTTTTTACTATTTTGCAGCATTACGTAACTATCGGTACTATAGCTGATATACTCTGGAGTAATTATCATCAAAACCTGATACATTTTCTATTTAGTTTGTAATTTTGAAGTGTTCATCAGGACCCGACATGTTTTAAGAGCCTCGTCTAGTTCTACTGAATTTATCATCACTTTTAGATTACAGATTTTTGTACGAAAACTAACCAATATTAATTATTATTCGAAAGAGCGAACTGAAAATATGTATAATCTGTACTGAAGATTGAATCATAAGTGTTATTGATTACCAATGAGATTTATCGTATTAGCGAAATCTGAGAGGAGGAAACAAACAGTTTTTTTACTGTCAGTTAAAACCTGGATTATTCTGATAACGAATAAGTGATAGATTTAGGTAGGATACTGACTGTTAACAATGGCCAATTTTGTAAGAGAGAGGTTTTAATATATAGTTAAGTAGATAAAAGCAAGTCTAGGTGATCATTAAATAAATTTATTTCATCCCTTGTCTCCGAACGATGAACATCCTTTTGATCCTCAAAAGACAATAATATTGAAGGTGCCACAGGTAGTCGTAGTTTGACAACACTTTAACCACTAACACCTTCTATTATGAATCGTACTCACCAAGTGAAATCAAAAGACAGAAATGAGGAGGTTCGAAGATATATTTGATGGGCTATCAATATATCGAGAATCGACTGATCTAATCTGGCTAGCGATTGCAGGGGATGTTGAGCACGGCGTTTCCACTCGTGATCTGGTGCGGATGCATGACCAAGTGCCTTCAGCTAGGTGAGTCCATTAAAACGAATGTGGTCAGCATGCCATGTCGAATACTTACAGAGCTATTTATTTTGGGGATTTATTTACCGCTACAATATGCATTCATCTAGCTGTTGAAATGTCTTATGACATAAAGCTTCATATATTTTCTATTGGTGATGAACAAATTAATTTTTCGTTGTGAGGCACGTCATAGCATGCAACAATTAAGTCAGAAGTCTTATTATTTAACAAATTTTTCATAAGAATGTAAATTGATCAAGTATAATACTTATCACTCACCACATAATCGCCAATGGGTCTGCTTATAAAGTAGTCCACAGAATACTCATAAACCCCACCTATTTCTACTTGCGGTGGACACTTGGTAAAGTTAACTGAATCATATTGAATCGGACAGTTCGAGGAAACTCTCATGGGAATATCTACGGTAATCTTTGGAGTCAACAACGCCTCCATTCTGACTGTTAAATTGGCACCTATTGGTGGAATCGACATTTGAGGGAAAAGACCAACTTGGAATCGCATCCTAATACTGAAGTCATTTGAATCATTGGCAGGAGCGGATGAAACACTTATTTGACTTGTCATTGTGAACTCCGAAGACTACGGAAAACAATTAACAAAAATGGATTAAGGGCTGGAATTCTCACGAAATTCTCCATTTTTATATGTATAATCTGGCACCGAAGGTATGAGTTAATATCAACTTACGAAGATAAACCACTGCAATTTCAAACCAATTTAGACCCATTCACAGAACCGATTTTAAGCGATGTTGAGTCATTTTATGTGACATTTTTTATCATATATTTCCTCAAGTTTGTAGATTGACTACAATTATTTGGTATATCAACTCACCTATAACCAAAATCTAATTTATGGAATAAAACAAAGCAAATATAGAAAATCAGAATTTCTATCTATTACTGCTCCTTAAAGTATGAACCTCACAAAGACATTTCTACATCTTATCTAATCCTTTCTGCTTTAGTTCATGTATTTTCCCCTCCTTCGTCTCTCTAGAACTTTCACTCAGTGATGACTATAGTCTTATATTACAGTGTTTTCTTTCTTCTAATCTTGTAGATTATTCTGTTTTATTTACACTCACTTTTCAAATTCATACTCATAATGGAACTTTGTATTCAGGTTTTCGATAGGTTGTTAAGATATGGAGATTATTGGATGAGACGTAAATCAGGAAGGTTTTTTAAGCGAAACTGAATTAAATTTTATCCAAATTAAATATCCATTGTTATGAATCTTCACAATCTCACTGTGGGTATTTAAAAGTTGGTTTTAACTATTTAAAAACTTTTTTTCCTTCGAGTACATAATCAGCATCAGCTGGCATTTTGAATATTTTTGTATAAAACAGAACTATGATATTTACTCTCAATCTTCAGTGAAATGTGGAATAAGTCGTTGCACATATCGGTGTACTTTCCATAGTAACATTTAACTAGTAGAATATTTTTAATTACAATGTAAGATATATTGAAGGCCAGGAGAAAAAGATTAGATGATATAACAGCTTCATGAGAGACTGTTAACTTAGTGTTATACCTATACAGAAAGTGAATTCAAAAACCGATTGTGTTTACATAATGTAGTTCGAATTATCTAGGAACATCTCATTTTTATACACATTTAATAATTTCTGGACGAAGTGTATTTTACTATTAGTAAACATGAATCAAACCGGTCTGTTTATTATGTTTCCATGAGAAACGTTTATGTACATAACCATGTGCTTTAAAAACCTACTAGATATGCTTCATTATTTTCTGAAGTTCAGTATCAACGGATATCCACAACTTAGAAACCTCCAGAAATTTTTTAACACATCACAACGAACAACCTCTAGTGACAGCAATCATGAGGTGTCATACGTTTATTTACCTGTACCTTCCTTGTTGCACATACATTTACAATCTCTAACAGAAAATGCTGTAAACAGTAAAATTAATCATACTACATTCATATCCTTACCGAGGAATTATTGTTCAAGTATGTGAGATTACTAAACTTCACAGGATAATTATTTGCTATATTTGAACCGTTGTAGTACGCAAACAAATATTGTATATATCCGTAATAAACATTATTTAGAGACGGGCCAGAAAATTTCATGATTAAACTATGATTTCCAGGTGGAAGGACAATTACCGAATCAATAAACCATGTATCGAACAGACAATAATTTGGATTATCCTGGATGTATACTCTGGAAAATGTGACATTGATAGTATTCGGTGGAACTATGATGCCCTATAAAGAAGAAAACATGACATTACTCATCTGGAAACCTCAAATCAATTATTTTGGCTAGTACACATCATGGTTCTATATCTTACTGTTCACATTTGCTGAATCGGATCACAATGTCCTGATGAAAACCTTATCTTGTTTCGTTAACATCGGAATCAATAAATCGAAGTCATCAGTGAATGAAGGTTGCTATCTGAAACACCACAATGTTTTGTAAGATAAATGAATGTGAAATACACACGAATTTAAAGACAATTATGCCTACTTATAATTCTTACTACTACCATTATTTTAAATAGTTTTCGTACTTGGAAGTTAACACTTTTGGCAAAAATGATTATTTGTAGCGTTTTATGAGAGATTGACGTTTATCTGATTTGGAGGTTGTTTCCAGTGGTAACATACCACTAATCGTGTTGATATTCCGTTGTTGTTGTTTAAACATCAAGGCTCAGAACTATGAGATAAGATTTGAAGAACCATTGATCATATTGCCATGCTTGTTTCAAAGAAACAGGCTACTACTGTGTCAACTGAAACAAGTCATGAATCTCTTTTAGTGACAGTTTACCAATTGTGAAATCAATGACAAAAACTGCACTTTCATTTTCAAAAAATTACTACAATAAACAGAGATCATACCCTCTTGACTGCAGTGATTTCACTTCCTGTTTCTTCGTCAGAATACTCTTCATCAATAAGAATGTTGACCATTGCATCATCAGATATATTTAGTGAAGTATTTGCATTCCTAACTGTCACTTGAAAAGTGATGCTGTGATTATTCTTCATTGTTTCATAATCGCTTTCAATTACTTTCAAAATACCAGTTGTTCCATCGATAGCTACTGGTAAGTAGTTTGAATCAGGTACAATGTTAAATTGAACACTTCCACATGATGCTAAGGAGGAGTTTTCATCACTCAGAGAAAGACTACCAATCAGACTTCCATTGATCCAGTTAGAAAACTTGGTTTCGAAGGTGAATACTGTCTGAGTGAATTTTGGAATTCTATGTACTAAAATGGTAAGCATATAATCTGTACAAAGTTAATGTTTCACAATATGTATATAAACCAGAAATGAATTATGAATCATGGAATGGACGATATTTCTTCACCTGTAACCAATGCACAATCCAAATGATTGAACGTTTTTACAAATGGATGAATCAATTCATGAAGAAATTTTGTTTAAGTTAACCAACTAATGATTTTCCAAGATTTCCTATAACAAGATGCGAAGTAAATTTGACTACAAGCTTATCAAGAAATGTGAACTATTATCCATTCAGTGTAATGTTTATTTCTTATACAAGTAATGTAGTTAATGAAGAACTCAGGTGCGGAATACCAATTTATTGTTCAATGCAAAATTATAGAGTTACATTGAATACTTCATTTGCAAATCCTACATCATTTATCTTTACATCATTCATGATTCTTCCATCTCTGAATCACTTCATTCTTCCCCCATTCTGTTTTATTCAGTGCTATTTTTTCAAGCTTCTTTTGACAGACATTCAACTTGTGATTGTTTTACATACTACTTATGTAGACAGGGATCAGTAGAATACACCACAGTAAATCTTGTGGGCTTGATGTAAGAATCTTTAGCATCATCTTGATAAGGAAATGATAGAATTTAACCAAATATTTATAAAATCGAACAGAAAATTATCTTGTTATTAGTAATATTGACTAGTTAAACCATAAATGACTGACTTACCTCGTTCTTCACAGGTTTTCCCGATCCAACATGTATTACATACACAGGTTCCATCAATGCAGTGACCATTAACACAGTTCCTAGTCAAAAAGATTGTGTATTGCGATCTTATACACACCAGTAATTTAGAATATGTAGATAAGTGAATTTTGTTATGTATGTTTCAATAACTTTAGTTTTAGTGCATGAAACCGACTTGCGAAGAAAAACATTATTATGTTAATAAAAATCAGTGATTTGAGTCTGGAGATGAGATACTAATGTGTATACTTAGTACAACAAACTTTTATCGATACATTAGCTAAATATATCGGAATTTGTACTATTTGGATATGACCTGACCATCCCAAAATCGTAATTTGATGAATATCTCTTCACAGTTTAGTACTTCTACAAGTTTATCCATCTTACAAAGTTGGTAAATCGAAACTAAGAGTAAAGAGCTTTGAATATGATTTCAATACGAAATCACTGACTGTATTTACTACACAATCAACAACAGATAATTAAGATATACGGTTTGTTCATTCAGTTCAACCACAAACGAAACTGAAAATAATGTCAATAATTAGCCCGAAATTTTTGAGAACTGTGCTCAGCTTACTTTTAACTACCATTCTTATACGCAATTGATGTGATATTCCAAACAAACAGAAGCGTCAGCAAACATGCTTATATCAAGATAACACATTAGCATTAATGGCTGACTAAAGATCAACTAAGTTTCAGCTTTATTTTAGACAGTCTAAATATTTCAAATTGCTTTTTGTATATTACTGAACAGTTTTCGCACTTACCAAAAATATTGAAAATATCAAAATCAACAGTCAGTGAAACTATGGATACACTATTTCGAGAAACTTTATCTTTAGCACTGTCTTTCATTGGACGTTATATTGAAAGTTATATCATTCAACTGAAATGTCTCCAGGACAATACTCTTAATTAGTTTAGAACCGTCATTTAAACTAATCAAGTCGAGACGTGTTTAGTAGTTCTAATTACGTTCATCTTTTCTATGGGCTTTCTATGTGTTAGCTTCTAGAGGTGATCCTTTTCTCATTTGATTTGTTATCAGTTAGTTGCCTGTCTTTAGGCTCAGTTACTGGTTTAAATAGGCTGAGAATATGTTTGTGGTTAGTTTGCACAGTAATCATTTGCAATTTAGTTCACGTATATCGAATGGTAGAACAAACGTGTTTGGGACCTAGTATTGCTACAGAAAATTGAAGATATTGCTCTACTACTTGTTTAAATTGATTGTGATTACAGTTGACCGCTTCTTCTATCATTTGAGTTATATTAGTTCAATTGGATTAGTGATTGTGAATTCTAGACATAAATAGATAATAAACGATGTCTATACTGTATACCACAAGTGAAATAAATTTCTTGTCACTGCTCAGTAGAAATAATTATACCACATTTTGTGTTACTTATGCATCTATATCACACAGAAATTTGTTAGGTGGTTGAAGATAGTCGGTAGGAAACGCTGGTTGTGTATTATTCGGGGCTTGCTGGCAGCTAAGTAAACCATAGATTTAGGTCACCATTAAGAACTAAACATGCATGATATTAACGATTATTCAGTAACCAATCAGTGTAAACAGATGACTACAAATGAACAATATTAACAAGAAAGTAGTGATACATAACTGATGTCGACTGAATACACTTTGTCACTTATCTTCTGATTCCTGTTTATTAACAAACCTCTAATCAACCAAAAACACTTAAAGAGAAAAATATAAATATTTATTACCATCACGACTATGATCAAAAACCATTAATATTCTTTCAACAGACTTACGATGAATTATTTTCACACAATTTTGTGGATTGTTCAAATGATCCATGAACTACTGAATGCAATATATTAGTTTAAACCTAAACAATCACGCATCAACTTACAAACAGTATGAATCAGTATAATGATCAAATCTGTTGGAATTCTTTGATAGACGATCATTATGTATGAATGTGAAAATGTAAGTCAAACGAAGGTGATGATGATGATGAAACTTTTGGGTTAAACTTTGTTGAAAATATTTTCGGATGATTTAACTAATTTCAGTCAGTAGCTAAATTAATTTCAAGTAAAGCTGAATTCATTTAAATAGTTGCAAAATATGTAGTTGTTTCAGCCAATCAGAATGCAGTCACTGAATTTTGAGTAGTTACACCTATTTATTCTAATCCCTAATAACAAACGAAACCTGATGACAATCCACATATTTGTCATCTGAATGAATTTTTGAACAACAAAATACTTGAACACTCCAATAGCAACAATTATTCCTACATACTCTTATACTGATCAAATCATGAAGATGATTAACAAGTCTTTAGTATTTTGGGCGATAGTGAGTTGAAAGTATGAAGTGGACCTGAGACTGAACTGTGATACACTGTACTACATGCAAAGTTGTCCTTAAGGTAAATGAGAAAACTAACACTTTGGTAACCAGGTGACTGAAAAAAACAATGTTTTACGTTGGCTTGATAAGTGAACAATACAAAATGGTGTTCTGTAAGAGGTCGTTGATATCTTGTTTTATTTAACCCAACAATTGCTCTTTACTGAAACAATTCATATCTGTCATATTGTAATAAAGCAGTTATAATTTAGCCTGCAGATAATTTAAGGACAACAATTTGAATGAATATAAGCCACCGGTATTTAAGCTTTTCAATTGTCTATCCGGTATGCTTCAGTGAATAAGGGTCCTTTCACTATTATTTTCATTATGTTTATTACGTTACGGAGACATAGTAATTAAAGTGAATTAACTCTCCGTGTCACATCTTGGAACTGTTTGTAATAAATAACTACAATAAGGTACAAGAATTAAGGTGACGTACCAACATGTTAAACACACCCTTTATAATAGTGTGGTTAAAACTGTTGTTTGCTTTTAATAATTCAACTGAAAAATGTATTTATATGTTCAATTAATTACAGTCAATTAGTTCCCATCGTTTTATTGCGAGTGTGAATTTCTCAGATGCACCAAAGTAGTTCAACTAAGCGAAGTGTATTCCAGTTAAAGGTGTTGATTCGACATGTCTCATTGAAAACATCAAGTAATGAGACAACAGTTTGCATTCTTACTTAGTATGAGTTACTGAATATATCATGTTTTTATTTGTGTATCAGTCCGAAACTTTCGTTTCATCATTCATTCTTTCCTCTTCACATTAAAATTAGTCTCATATATAAGTAGGAATATGTAGAATGTTCCTTTAACCACAGTTCTCGATTACTGTTGTTTAAAAATTAAATATCAGATAATTTTTTTTACTAAAGTTAATGTAACACCAATTTCAAAATCAACACGCATTCCTAATACCGTAGGACCATATAGGACCACAATTCTGTGAAATAGGGGTAGAAAACTTAAAAATGATTAAAAAGATCAAGATATGGTCTTGTAAAATTAAATCTCATTTCTTGATTTAGCAGTTCATAAGAACACATTATCTAGGAGTTTTCGGATATGCAATATAATCTCAGTCTAGATATTTCGTTTGGTTCTGTTTATCATTTTATATACACGTAGTCAGGACTACTTAATACATAGGCTTAAATTGATGATTTAAAGAAAACACGTATCAAGTAATTTTAATTAGAGGTAATGTTCTTATATATTTATTTAAAAGTGAAGTTAATTAAGTATTACATATGCTTCAAACAGCGAAAGCAGTAGCCCTCGGACTAAGAAACCGGAGTTATGTGTAAAAAAGAAATATGTTCAACTACTTCTCCTATCTTGTCCAAACTTAGGGTTTATTAATCGATTGAGTAATTCAGGATGCCACAGGTATTCGGAGTTCGACAACACTTTAACCACTAACACCTTCTATTATGAATCGTACTCACCAAGTGAAATCAAAAGACAGAAATGAGGAGGTTCGAAGATATATTTGATGGGCTATCAATATATCGAGAATCGACTGATCTAATCTGGCTAGCGATTGCAGGGGATGTTGAGCACGGCGTTTCCACTCGTGATCTGGTGCGGATGCATGACCAAGTGCCTTCAGCTAGGTGAGTCCATTAAAACGAATGTGGTCAGCATGCCATGTCGAATACTTACAGAGCTATTTATTTTGGGGATTTATTTACCTCTACAGATCACTCCCTCCCTAGTGGGGTAGTGATGACTCTAAGACGTGGCCAGCCAGAAGTTTAAACCCAATGAGTTTGTCATTGGTAAACACTCTTCTGGTGGTTTGCTAGGTTTAGCAGCGTCTGGTCGTCTTTCCTTACCATAAGGAACCATGTAGTACAACATAGTAATGAAAAATGTACAATGCAATTTTCGGTTCATCGTAAACTTCGTCGTTCTTTTTCGTCTTTTCCAGCTGTCCTGGAAAAGAAAAAAAGAAAATGTAAGTGTATGACGAAATACACTCGTACATGCATAAAAACGCGAAGCGGGAGAAAAAGAGGAAAATAAATTTATGAATAAATAATGGCGTATAGAAGGATTTTTACAAAATGGCGTTTTTTGTTTTTGTCTTTTTTTGGAATAAAAATACAAATATAAAAGCATATCAAGATTGATTATTTTATTATGTATAGTACGATGAAAAATCGAGATGATATAAAATGTCAATTATCATCTTACGTGCAGTAATCTTTCAAATGTCCTATAAATCTTACTCTTCTTCCAGAACGCGTCGTTTCAATTTTATTTTCAGATACTGACGAAGTATCATCGTGTGTGTTGGCTAACGGATTAGGTATCGTGAGTGTAGGAGTCGTGTCGTTCGATTGTACCGGAGGTAAATCGATGTGAATAGGATTTCCTTCTGAATACGCTGCTTTGAGGAGATCGATAATGATGCTATTGTTGGTTCCGTTCTTATCGAGTATGTAGTACTTGGGTCCTCGTTGAACAACTTTGAAGGGTCCTTCGTATGCTGATTCGAGAGGTCGTCGGTGTGAATCTCGACGAACGAAGACGTGTGTACTATACCATAAGTCAGGTTGAACGAAAACATCAGTTGATTGCGGTCGAGTAGAAACAGGTTTAACTGAAAGCATTGCGTTTGTAAGCCTGTTCGTGTAGGAGTTTAAATCCATGTCCATTGAAGAGGATGAAGGATCCACGAATTCTCCTGGAAGTCGAAGTGTCGTTCCATAAACGAGTTGAGCCGCAGTGTATCCAATGTCAGCTTTCACTACATTGCGAATACCTAGTAAGACGAGTGGAAGAGCGTCAGTCCTCTGTGAAAGGTTTGCAGCTGATAGTGAAGCTTTTAGATGTCGGTGAAAGCGTTCTACCAACCCGTTTGCTTGTGGGTGGTAGACGGTCGTTCGGAAGCGAGTGGTTCCTAATGGTGTGATCAGACAACGGAAAAGTCCAGATTCGAACTGGCGTCCACGATCTGTAGTGATGGTTGAAGGGCAGCCGAAGTTTGCTAACCGTCGTTCGACGAAGGCGCGGGCCACTGTTTCATCAGTGATGTCCTTGACAGAGATTGCTTCTGGCCATCGAGTGAAACGGTCTACGCAGGTTGAGAGGTAAGAGTATCCATTTGGATCCGGTACAGGTCCAACCAAATCCAGATGAACATGGTCGGAACGAGCGTCAGGAGTTTTGAAGGAGCCTAAGAGACATTTGTTGTGCCTAATCATCTTAGATTTCTAACAGCTCACACAGGAGCGTGTCCACTCCCTCACGTCTTTATTCATACCAGGCCATCAAAACCGTTCTGCTATAGGATTGATGGTTGCACAAACACCTGGATGAGAAAGTTTGTGCAACGTATTGAAGACGTTGCGTCGATAATGTTTCGGCACGATTGGACGATCCGTACATGTAGATGTGACACACAGTAAGGTTTCCTTACCTGTTCCCATCTGTGTGATGTGT